TTTTTGAAACCCTCACTCTGGATAATACAGCTTTTGTGTTTTCACTAGTATCACACACTGCTCCACGTTACACAGGATACAAGGAGCTCAGTGACGGGGCTTTTAATGCCATAAAAATAAATTGAGACCATAGACCTGTTTAAAGATGGTGGTGCCCATTTCTGCAGACTACTTTTTTAAAAAAAAAATCTATTTTTATATATAGTGTTTAACACTTGCAAATCTCAAACTCTCAAATTTATCCGTTCCCACTCCCTTTTCCCCAGTAACCATGAGTGTTTCCTAAGTCTGCGAGATCGTCATTCTGAGTGAAGTCAGCCAGAAAGAGAAAGAAAAATGCCACATGATATCACTCTTATGTGGAATCTAAAAAAAAGAAAAGAGACAAAAGGACATTATGAACTCATCTACAAAACAGAAACAGACTACTTTTTAAAAACGCAATTCCTTGGAACTTAATACAAGTCATTCGTCAACTCTCATATACTCAGTGTGTAAGAAAAATGCCAACCCCTCAACTGCCCCCACTCTCAGAAGGCCGCCCAGAGGTCCCTGTGTCACTAAACTGTAAACTTGTTATGGCTAGAGATTTCTGTTTGCTTGGCTCATTTCCATATATTCAGTAACTAAAATAATGCTGGCTAATATGTGTTGTATAGAGGAAAGGTCAACATTACTTCGGTAAATTTTAGGTGTGAATTCATTCATTCATTCATAACAGTGTTAGTCAACTGCTTACTATGTGTCCATTCTGAAGGTTTATAACCAAAAATGGGAAGTTGGCAGACAGAGAAGGAATTACAGATATATTTTAAAATCTCTACAGATGTTATAGGGTCATAGAAATGAAATGACGGTTGACCCTTGAGCAACACAGGTTTGGACTGCCCGGGTCCACTTACACGTGGATTTTTTCCCGTAGTAAATATACAGTCCTGCCGGATGTGATGTGCGGTTGGCTGAATCCGCAGGTGGAGAACCACAGCTAGGGAAGAACTGTGGATAGGAGGGAACTGCATATACACGGGAGGCCAGCTGTATGTTATACACACACTTTTGACTGCATGGAGGGCTCGTGCCCTTAACTGCTACGTTGTTCAGGGATCCGCTGTACTTAATTCTAGATGGGGAGGTCAGAAGAGTCTTTCTTGAGTAGATTGTCAGTTGAATCTTGGATAATGAGGAAGAGTTTTGATTGAGGACGACAACAGTGTGGAGAAACAGCTCTTGGTGGCTCTCTCACATGTCTGCGTGTCTTATTGGCTCCCTTTGGAGGTACCTTCTCAAGATGTTTGTGTAGCCGGCAGCCGTGGGTATTAGAGGCAGTGTGTCTTCCTGGAGCAAAGGGCAGGCGTGCTTACTGCCCATGATGACATGCTCGGGTTCCCCAAGCACAGCTCCTGCAAGGCTCAGGGAATTTGATGCAAGAAAATGGTGGTGGTCCGGCTACTGCTGTGAAGGTGAAAAGGTCTCTGATTCAAGAGTCGCATATCTTCCGCCAGCTTCCAGGAAACAGTGGCAGTGTTCCTTACTAGCTAGCGTGTGGGGTAATACCCCATGGGTTCTGACAGTTTTGTGGATGAAGGTGGGATGACATGTGGTGACTCTCCTCAGGGAGGGAGGACTTCCTTGGCCACCCAGTGGTCAGCCTCAGGTCCACCCATTGTAAAAACCAGTGCTAAGATGAGCCTTATGTGGGCAGAAATTTCTCTTTCCTCTGTCCCACAGTTACTGGGAGTATAGAAGGAAGAAATTTGGCCAACCTTACGGGAGGAAGCCAGGTGAATCCTAAGAACTCTGATTGGCTGAGTTGGGAGGTGAGGGGGATGGGGTAAGTAATGCTTGCTACTAAAGAAGTGTAGTAGGCTGAAGGATTTGGGTCATGGGAAAACAAGATTAGGGAGGATACTTGAGGGAGCTAGAGCAATAGACT